AAATTCAGCTAGAAGCATCTGCCGAAAAGCCGATGCCGGTAGCGACAAAAACCTGCGGGGAACTCTTCAAAAAACGCATCTTCGCACGGGCAGCCTGTGCGTTGGCCATTTATTTTAAACTTTCAAGGCAAATAAAACTAACAAGAAAAAATTATGTCTTCAGAAAAAAAAATCTTTTGCTTGTCAACGGTTTTTTTCTTCTAATTTTTTAAATAAAGCCGATTTTCATTTACATGTTTTACACATTGTGTTTGCATTCGTTGAACACATTCATTTTGAATTTTAAAGCGAAATAGACCGATAAACAGCTTGTCCGATGACCTCCACAAGCATTGTCGGTTTATAAAGCAACAGATCCGTAAGCAAAAATATTGGAATTAGTGATACCAAATATCCATATGGGGAATATGGATAAATCTGAAATTGAGTTCTTTATCAAAATCTCCTAATCCTGTTTTATGTCTAGCCAAAGTATGGGCCAGAGGGATCTAAGCTTAGATATCGTTTAGCAAACGCGTACATTCAGCCAGTGGTATTTTTGCAGATTAAAACCAATGTGGATGTGCAAACGGTGCGTTAGGGAAAGAAAAGCATAGTTTTTTGTGATAAAGTATTTCGACTTGATTTTATCTTTTTTTTTTTGAACTGCATGGTATGCAAAAAACGAGATAAACAGACCTCGTTTGTTAACTGTTCACGTGTCAAATTGAGTACTTGGCTTTGATACAAATACATGAACGGCTCACCAATTTTAAATTCCTTGATAAATCCATAAAAGCAAAGCAGCGGTGTAAGAAAGTACCACATTTTTCTATAGAGTTAGAAAAAAACAATAACACTTTACCCGCAAGCACCTTAGGAGGTCTACGCGGCACAGAAAAAATATTTTGAGCGCTATTCGAAGTGGTGAAACAACACGCATATTCCACATGAATAAAACATTATTCCGGTGTTTGATTATTTGTGCTCAAGGACTCCGACTGGTCATAGCCGTAATTATTGTAAAATCATAAATTGTGAGGAAGAATAATTTAAATCAATTTTCAAATTCTTGGACTTTTGCGCAGCGAAGATCTACGTTTTACGAAATTTCATCTTTCTGGCTTCAGAGATGATTTATACAGCCACATGTAACTGTATGCACAGTTAACCGGTCCCACCATAATGCATTTTGGTGCACAAGTGATGCAAAAAATGCACAAAATATCCGAAAACTAATAAAAAGTGAAATAAAACATTGCATATCTTCGAAACAAAAAGGAATTAA